TCAAATTTCAACTCGAGTGTATGTATTTTTAACATTCTGTGAGACCGACCAAATGGCGAGCACACAGGAAGCCCTGCGGCCACATATCCGTGTGTAATATGGCCTCAACTAATAGTCCAGCCTGGATGAGTTGCTTTTTCACAAGGAAAACCATTTTCACTAGAAAGAATGACAAAGTCTCGTTATTCAGACTTAAGTATTTGGCAGACTCTGTCTTAAAACAGAACAAAGTTAGTCTGTTACTTCAAGGAAAACAATGGACATTATTTTTTGTTGTCAATGACAAAGTTCAAGCTTTCAAGCGAAATTTAGAATCTTGGAAAACTTGTATCAGCCATCATGAGCTTGACAGCTTTTCAACACATGAAAGACATTTCTTGAGATGAGTGATGACGGAACAGAAAGGTGACTGTATAAAGATGTGCCAGCTCTTTGAAGATCTGCAGGTCTCAGTGAGCTGGCATTTTCCAGATGACCACTGCATGACATATTACACATATGTAAACAATCTATTCAAAGTATTGTTCAGACCAATTGATTATAATATACCAGAGTACAGAAAATTCATTGATTTGGATTCAGATTCTACACTGCAACTCATTTATTATTTCCACTTTTCCTATTGTGGTAAATTATACATAAAATGTATCATCTGAATCATTTTTAGTGGTAAGTCCAGTGGTATCAAATGTATTCATATTGTGCAGCCAATTAAAGATATGCAGATCGTGATCTGCTGAATGAGGAAGCACAAGCCACTCACACACGGGAGCTGGCAGGTAGCTCCATCAGCATCCCAGCTCCCGCTCTGGGGAAGCGAAAGCCCCACAGTCCTTTTGCTTGAAGGTGCAGTTTCAATATTCACACAAGATTTATTACTTACAGATTTCAGAAATGGGGGAGGGATGGGGAGAGTGCAGTGAGCCAGGGGAAGGGCAGTCCTCCGTCCCAGGTTCCAAGCATGCAGGAGACGGAGAACAGATAACACACACTGGTCATGATGTGGCTTGGTAGTTTTTCTTCGCTATTTCTCATGCCTGGAGTTCACTGAATTCTATTTGTGGGTTAATAGTTTTCATAAAGTTTGGAATTTTTTAGGCCATTATTTATTCAAACACTTCGTATACACTCCACCCTTCCCTCCTTCAGGGACTTTAACTAACCACATACCAGGATATGAGAAGTTGTTCCACAATTCACTGATTTTCTTTTCATCTGTTTTTTTCCCTCCACATTTCATTTTGGATGATGTCTATTGATCTGTCAAGTTCGCTAGTCCCTTCTTCTGCAATGTCTTAACTTGTCATTTATCCCATCCAGTGTATTTTTCACCTCAGAAATTAGTTTTCATCTCTACAAGTTTGGTCTTTTTAATACCCACCATGTTTCTAAACATTTTGAACACACATAATTAAGTTTTAACTTTTAACATCCTCATCCTTTAACATCTATAAAAGACCTAGGTTGGTTTCCACTGATGATTCTTTTTATGGGCCGTGTTTTCTTGCTTCTTTGCATGCCTACTGACCTTTAATTAGATGACAGCCACTATGAATTTTCTTTGGGCATTTGTGTTTTTCTATGAACATGTCTGAGCTTTGTTCTGGGATGAGCTGTGTTACTTGAGATGGTCTGGTCCTCTTCAGTCTTACTTTTACGACTTGCTGGGGAGAGCCAGAGGAGTGACGTCGAGGGCTAATTACTCCCCATCATGAAGGCAAGTGCTACCCAGTGACCCGCGGCTGGTGTGAACAGGCCTTGTGACTGGGCCCACGAGAGCCCTCCAGTCGTCTCAGATGGTTCTCCTGACTGCTCCCTCACATCCACGTGCTGAGCAGGACTGTGTTGAATTCTCAAGGGGGACTATCTTAGATCACTGGAGTTCTGTGTTCTCTCCTTACTGGCTCTCTGTCCCATGAACTCTAGCTATCTCGGTCTTCCTAAACTCTCATCTCCATTTCCTCAACTCTGGGAGCCTTCCTGAGCAACCCCCTTCCCGCTCCCCCTCCTCGCCTCGTGGCCTGCAGTTTCCCTCAAGGCAGCAAGCTGGCGTGACTGCAGGGCTCCATTTCTTTGTTTCCCAATTTTCCTCATTGTTTGAGGCCCAGTGTCTTGAAATCCACTTTTCCATGCAGTTTGGCTGTTTATTTGGTTGTTGCAGCAGGAAGGAACATGCGTCCCTTGTTTTCTATCATGGCTAGAAACAGAAATAGAAATTATAGCTAATCTTTTAAGAAACTGCCACTTCTTGAGTTTTTGTGTAACAATCACCTGAAAAGAATATTACAGGGCTTCTCTACCCAACTACGTACCTGTGTGATCTGGACTTTGCTCATATACATCGATTGTAACAATGTACTGTAACAAATTAAACTGCAGAATACTACTATTCTATATACTGTGCATCTAACCAGAAACCTTCATTTTACTACTTGGATCGGAGTTTTACTAGAAGCTTGCGGTATGCCATTACATCTTAGACTAGGCAATTAAGTTTTCCCTGCAAGATTTAAAACCAGAACACCCAGAAGTTACTGAAATAGTGAAGTAAAATAAAGACATTTAAGTATATTTTAAATAGCTACATATTTTATGTATTTTTCTATTCTTTTAATAATTGCATGAAAAAAAGTGACTTCTATGTGGATCATATAATCGATGCCCACCCACCCACTCACACCTCAAGTACAGGAGTCATCTGTAACAGCAACTGGGATTGGGGCAAAATCCCCTTGCGCTATAAAAGTTGAACTATAGACATTCTAGTGAGTTTTATGGCACACATGCCTGAAATGCTGTTAATTCTTTCCCCTACATACAGATAATTTCACTGTCTTTTTATGAAGTTTCCATGAATGACAGTACACTCAGTGGTTAAGGTCATATTTGGAAGCACACTGAGTTCCAACACCTTTCTAATTGTGTGACCTTGAGAAAGTCATTTGATAAGCTTACTTCAGTTTCCCTATGTGTAAAATGGTGGTGAAAGCGTTATTTATATGCTTGTTAGTTCAATGCAAATTTCCTAAAACCATGCATGGTAGTAAATAAAATATTTAGCAATTATTGTATAAGTTGAGCAATTATGATTTCTTTTCAACTCTGATGGCCTTAGTCAATGGACTTTAAAAGCACACACGAAGAAATCCACCCCTGTATGTACTTTTTTATGAATTCTAAGGGAAGTCATAAAGACACAAATTTGTTGTTTTGTGTTTTGAGTCCCATGAGTGATTCTGATCACATCTGAGCAAGAATTGGGCACTTACATTAATCAGGGTTAGGCTAAATTTAAATTGTTTCTAGAAACATCTTCCAATCCTGAAGTTCAGGGAATCAGAGTCAAAATCAGAGTCAAGTGGAGGAAAGCAGAATCTCTGCCACCAGAATCTGTTTAAATGCATCAGACACTTACTTCATAAGTAACCACTGAATACCAATACTGGACTGACAGAGACAAGTAAGGTACCTCTGTTCTCAGGAAACTAAAAACCAAAAAACAGAGTATAATGATATAAGCAGTGCTTACCAGGGTGTGTGTGTGGAACATGCATGCACACCACTGTCTGTAATAAGCAACCCAAGTTCTCCCGGGGCCAGAGCTGCCTGTCTGCAGCAAGAAAGAGCGCTAATGGACAGAACCCACTCTGCACACGTCCCTGCAGTAAAGGCATTATTACTAGCATCCGTTTTCCTGCAGCCAACCTGAGATGCACAAACAGCGGCAGAGCCTGAGCTGGAATACAACCGCCAGGCTGACCAGCTGCCTCTTCCCTGTGCAAAAACAGATTCCCTAGAGACGGGAAAAAGCCAAGCTAGAGAAACGATCTGTGCAGTCCTCTGTGTGCTCATTAATGGGTCCCTCGATCCCCACTACTTCCAACAACAGCTGAGGAAGAGGAATCAGGACAGGACAGGAGAGTGGGAGGAGCAGGCTCAGGTTCAGATGTGCTGGGCCACTCTTCCTCCCACAGCCGTAAGGACTATGAAGTCTCCCGAAAGAGAAAAGGGGTCACTTTAAGAACGCTGTTAAGTGAACAGCGTGACAGGCTACACCGAGAGCATGGCAACATGATGAAAGAGATGCAAAACGAGAAGTTGCAGAAATACCACTAGCAGACATATACAACCAAGTAACATACAGGGTATTATAGAACTGAGGGTAAGTACCACAATGACGAGAGACAAGAAATCCAGTAAGGATGATCAGGGACAAGTGCCGAAGAAACTCAAACTTACTGAGTCGTAATGGCTGGCCTGAACAGGCTAACGTCGCTCCAGAGGAACCAAGAGGAAGGCCGGGAGGAGCTTAAGCAGAAGCAGAGATACCCACAGGCTAGTAAGAACGGTGAAGCCACTTCAGAAAAAGATAAAGGTTCTCAGCTCTTCGTTTTCTTACATAAAAACTGTATTTATTCTCTATTCTTAAGCAAATAAAAAACATTACCTAGTGTATGTTACTCTACCGTATATATGAAAATACAACTTTCAGAACAATATGTCTCTTGTAGCAGTATCTTATTTTTTTAATGGGGGGAGGTACTCAGGCTTGTGTTTATTTATTTATTTAACGGAGGTACTGGGGACTGAACCCAGGACCTCACGCATGCTAAGCACGCACTCTGCCACTGAGCTATACCCTCCCCTGTATCTTATAGCAATAACTTAAACTGCACTTAATTATTTTGACATTCTAGCTCTAAGACACCTGAATAGTGGTGAACACCCTAATAGGCTCTTCACGTCTGTAATTTTGGCCAGGTCTCCTAAAGTCGTTTGGGATGAATAAAGCATCCTTACTTGTCCTTATGTCCTCAGCTTAGACTTTTTTACTTCTGGCTTAGCAAATTCCAAACAGGCAAAAAGAAAAGAGAGTAATAGAGAAGAACAAATTACTAAAGTCAGTAAATTAATCAAAGAAAAATTACATAGTTCTAGGAAAACTGAAAAAAGATTCTCATTTTTTATATCCTGGAATGGTTCAAGAAACAATGCGATGATTACTGAACAGTCCTTAATGTGCTTTTATTTAAGTTTTATACCATAAAGTAATTAATGCTCCCACAGACATGGTATTTCATGTACTTTGAAGCAAATGGTACAATAGCCTAGGAATCCACTGGAATGAAAGAAATCATTCCAATCGCAGCACAGCTTTAACTCGCCTCATGACTTTCAGAACAATGCTATTCATTTCTTACCTAGACAACAAAGAGGCTGGACCAGATGATAACGAGTTTCTGACAGTTCTAAACATGCATGATGCTATACTACTTACACAGCCAATCCAATCTTTTTTCTAAACTCAACTTCTTAAATCAGCATTTTTCCTAAAAACGGAGGGAAGTTTCCAAAATGCATTACATTTTAGAATTTAAAATTCACATCTATTATGGACTAGGAATTGAAAATAATAATGTCCTTACAAATAAACTGAAGTCCTTTATTTCCTACCATGTTCCTAACAATATGGAAGTATTAGGATTCAGAAATGTATAAAAACCTTAAGGCACAGTTATTGAAAGTAAACCTGTAAAAAAAAAAATAGTCTAGTGTTAGGAAAAGACTTACTAAAGTAAAAATTTAAGTAGATTATTTTTGATGGTCCTCCGCAGTCACGATATTTAAAAAATGAAACTACTTCCCTCTGTATATTTCTACTACAAAATTGTTAACTTCCCTGAATTTCCAAAACTTACACGCAATTACTTTCACATACATCTCCAAGGAAAGGTTTCACTGGTCATTGCAAACACTGATTTATTAAATAAAGTAGAATTCCACGCTTTATAACTCAGCATTAAATTTCTCACAGAGAAACCAAGAACAAATGCTTCCTATCATAGATAGCTATCGACTGTCCTTGTTGTCTCCCCACTAACGCTTCATTAAACAATCAGGTTAAGTGGGAGCTGCCTTTACAGTCGCCGCCTGTGCTTTTGGCCTTTCTTCGAAACAGTGCTTCTTGTCTTTTTCTCTGAATTTCTTCAGGAGAATACTTTCTATTTTTCTCTTCTTCCTCTAAAAATGAAACAAAATATAGATGTTAGTTTTACAGACTATAAAGTCATTCTAAGTGGGTTTTAATTTTTACTTATTACCCAGGTTTGCCACACTGGTTTGGTTATTAAATCAGACTAAACTACTAACTGTAAGATGCTAAGTACAGTTCAAGTACAAGGTTCTAGCCAAAATGAAACCAAGCACTGATCAATCTGTACCTGTGTGACACTCTCTTTCCACAGTGTGACAAAATTCATTTGATTAAAAGCAAATAATTCTTGTGAACAACAGCATCTAATTTCTATATAATAAATGAATGCATTTTAAAAACAAATTGGGATTTTAAATGTTACATAAGTTGTAATAGAAAAGTAGTCAAAATATAATGAATTCGATAACAATACCCCAAATAGTGTATTTTTGGTGTAAGATAAGCTATGTTACTATACACACCTACTTTTTTTCCTCTCTAGAGCGCCAAGATTTTTATTTCAGCCATTTAGGAAATATATCTTGGAGTAATAAAGTGAAATCTACCATGCCAACAGATATGCAACTCACCATCAGATATTATACTTTTACTTGGACACACTTTTTTATAAACATCAGAAAATTATTTCAAAAAGCAGGCTATCTGAATAAAATCTTCAATATGAATGTCTTTCAATACACAAAAATATGAAGCATTCTGATATATTCTTTTGCAACATACTTTATACTTCAGATAAGCAGACTATAAAAAACGTGTTTTTAAATTAGACAAATGAAAATAAGAAAGTTCTATTTTAATAACAGTCAACTCTTCTCTACCAAAATTCTGAGTTCTAATAAAATGAATTTAATTCCACAGTTAAGTCACTTTGAGCTAGAAGACTATCTATATCATGCTCCTAAGAACCAAACTTTAAAATTAGCAAACCTATTTTCTCATTTAAGTAATGTTTTAAAATTAAGACCATCATACTAATAATACATATGTAAGTGACCTGGTATTGCTAAAACTGTTTATACTGTAAAATCCACCTTTCAGAGAAGTAAGAGTCTGCAGTACTGTCAGCAGAGAAATATTATTTACACTGACACCTAGACAAAGGTTCACGATTTAGTTGTTATAAGACATTTTCCTTGTTACTAAGGCAGATATTTGCCCAAGATGTACCATCTGTCTCCGCTTCCCTCCTTGGTATAGTCAGAAATGGAGAAGGTGTTCAGGGTAAGAGATATGTATCTCAAATAAACTCCCCAGATGAATCTGTTGCCTTTAATTTCCTAAACCAATTATCTCACAGACTGTAGCTATTTTTCCCCACAGAAAGATACTATGAAACTTTAAAATTAGTTTGATGAATTTATCTACTATTTTAGTCTCAAAGCTGAGAAACACAAGAAACTCAGAATACACACACACACAGTTTACATTCAGTTGACCATACGTTTGGAAGGAAAACAGGTTAATAATCCATGAGGGCTGAAAAGAACACAGATCCCTAAAACTGGCCTTACAACTGGCTTCATGATATTCTGGAAAATAATTTCAAACGATACAATAAACTCACACCATGAAAATTCTTGTGAACAAGATTTAGGGAGAGTCACTCATTTCTCCCATCAGCCCTTCCTTTAATTCAATCTGCAATAAAAATTCACAGTAAGGTCTCAAACTATTGCAAGGTACAAAGCAAGGGTGGCTCTTCTTAATCTTTACTGTACAGCAGGGGGTCAGCACACTTTTTTTTTTCTGTAAAAGACCAGAAAGTAAGTATGTTAACCTTTAAGGGTCACGTGATCTCTTGCTGCAACTGTTCAATTCTGTCATTGCAGCATGAAAACTGCCACGGACAGTGTGTAAACAAATAACGTGGCTATGTTCAAGGAAAACTTTACAGACAGTAAAATTTGAATTCCCATACAGTTTTCAAAAGTCATGAAGTATTATTCTTCTTTTAATTTTTTTCAACCATTTAAAATGTGAAAATCATCTCAGCATGTTGGCTGTACAAAAACAGGCTATTCAGGCCCAATCTGCACAGGCCAGTTTGCCAAACCTTGTCTTGAAGCAATGAGGCAGTTAGATGGATTTTGTTTTAAAGAGATTCCCTGGTGAGCAGTGTGCTACACATAAGTAAAAGGAAATGGAAACTAGAGAAAACAGCAACAAGGTTAATATCAATTAGAATATTAGGTACCATCGGTAAACTTGGAGGAAAAATTGTAAAGTAAACTGAAAGGCAGATTATCCATCCATAAAAAAATGCAGATAGGACAGTAGATAGGAGTTTTGGAAAAATCAAATATTCCAGAGAGATTTAGTCTTTAATGGAATTACAACTATAAAGTAACATGTTGGAAATATGCTTCAATTAGTCACATTTATCTAAATAGAAACTTAAATATTTAAAATTATTATAGATTGACAACAATTTTTAAAGTTTCAAAATATCTAGCCTGGGCTGTAATGTAGAGAAGGATTCATTGTCAGTGTTGATAATAATAAAAATTGATGTCATTTTGGGGGATGATTAAGTGTTATCAATCAAAATTTAAAACATTTTCTTACATTAGTTTTTCAGTAATTAATGGACACAATCACACAAGCATGTGTAAATTTATGTAGAAGACTATTCACTGGAGGACTGTACTGTTTGTAATGCAAAAAACTGCAATGAAATTAAACTTCCATCAATAAACAATCGTTTAAATAAATTATGATACATCCATATAATGACAAACAATGTAGTCATTCAAAAGACTGAAGCAAATCTGTATGTACTAACAGGAAAAGATAGTCATACCAAATGGAGGCAAAACCAAACTGCCAAATTATATAATATAATTCTATCTATTTAAATAAATGTATAGGTAAACATACACACATACGTTTTTATATGTGCAGAAAATGCTACATGATGTATTCCAAACTATTAACAGTGGCTTTCCCTGATGGATAGCTGGAGGAAAGGAGAAACAGAGGACTTAACTTTCTACTTCAAATTAATCTATACTGTTTTCTTTCTTCCTTTTTAAACAACTAACATGGTACTGTTTTTTTTTTTAAGGGAGGGGTCACTTAAATGGAACAGTTGAAGTAACAGCGCCAACAAAAGCATTATCCAGAATCCAAAGATAAAAACAACCCAATGTTAAAAGAAACTAAAAACTCTTACCATATTAGCATCGATCTACACAGTAGATAAGAATCCTAAGGCTAGCCCCAAGTGAGGGAGACTGATTAAGAAAATCTATAATTACAAGCTAGCGCAGTAAATGCTGTAACAGAAAGCAGCACTGGGTATTGGAGAAACTCAGAGACAACGAATCTAAACCATTCTGGGTGGTTAGAAATACATTCGTTTTAAAGGATAAATGGAAAACAGCCAGGCCGACTTGGTGTTATGTACATGGGGGTCACTATGTTTCTGGTGACGAGCCCCAGGCATTAAGAAGCACAAGGAGTTATGCCAGAAATATTCCCTTTTAAAAAAATATTAAAGTGTCAGTGAATAACAGACTTTTCACATCATACTGCGTGATGTTCAGTCAAGTATCTACCGAACATCTTCCAAATGGCAGATGCTACCTACGGTAGGCGTAGGAATTCACTGATGAGACAGACAGCAATCAATATTTAACTGCAAACTGTGATAGAAGAAGTGAAGGAAATAAGAAACATGACTGAAAATAACAAAGAAAGCACTGATCTATAGACTGTGCGAGGAAGGCCTCTGTGAGACAGTAACACTTAAACTGAGACCTAAGGGTAAAAACACACCCACCAGAGGAGGGGAGGGGGTCAAAGGCTGGGAGGTAGTTTTGGCGGGGAATAGCAGTCAAAGCTTCTGAACTAGGAAAGAACCGATTTTGTTTGAGGAACTGAAATACAGCTGGTACAAGGGAAAAAGAAGACAGGTAGATTAAGGAGAGAGAATTCAGGGCCCTGGAGATCAGCGTAAAGTTTGGATTTTATTTGAAATATGAAGAGCAGTGACTGAAGGCTGTCTTAAGGCAGAGGAATGCCATATATGCCTACTTGTTTGTTGGCTTGTTTTTAAATCTTGTTTTAAAGGATCATTCTGCTGTTTGGAGCCTAGAATTTAAGAAGGGGCAGGTCAAACAACTGCAGAGGCCTAGTCAAGAAACGTCGGCATGGATAAGGCAGGGACAGGAGAGGGTGAGAAAAATGGACAGTTCTGAGACACATTTTTTGAGGTAAAAACAACGGAATTTGTTGACAGAAAGAATTGGGGAAAAGAAGAATTGGGGAGAAATCAAAAGATGACAGGATGTACTGTTCAGTAAATAACAATTCTAACCATCATTAACAGTTTTATATCAGACAGGATACTAGCAAAGGTGTTAAATTAGAATGCTCTAAACCTTCAAATGTTGTTTACCTCAGTGTTCTGCTAAACATAGGAGTAAGGAATAAGATTATTCAAATCTTAAAACAATGAGGTATTTAATAAACACACAGAGTCTCATACAGTAATACATATATCTAAAAGTAAAATTTTCTAGTAAATAAACAAGGAAACATTCAACACATATTTACTGAATGCCTACCATATGCTAATCACTGTATTAAATGCTGGCAAAGAATTCAATGCAATCTATTGAAAACATAAATCGCCCAGTGTTTGTATATTCCAGCATCAGCATTAAGAATCACTATAAGACCTCTAGTTAAATAACGATAGAATAGTTTTTAACTTAATATGTTATGCAAATTCAATATTTAAGAAATAACTAGTTTGGCTACTTTTCAAAGAAAACTGTATTTCATACACACCTTTTGAAGGTTGTTCCAAAGATTCAGAGGATTTCACCAAAGGCTGCTGTTGAACAGCCTTCCCACATAATGGGTTGACAGTTCTATTTTTCTCCAAATCCTGTGTAATTCTGGTATCAGAAACACTTCCTGTTATACATTCGTTATTAAACTGGGAAAGAAATGGCAAACTTTTCATCTTCGTAAATGTGTACTTAGACAATCTAGCTGCCCTGTTAAGGTCAAACCAAGCCCCTTCACTAGCCATGGTCTTGTGGGACGGATGTGCACCACTCAGCTTCTTCCTGTAAGAACCAATTTCTGTATTCATATGATCTGAACTCACATTCGAACCTGAACTTCCTGAGAGAACCGATTTGGAACTATTCACTTGTACTGGAACATCACTGTTATTCCAAGAGAGACACCGATTATTGACCTGACAATCTGAGTTCTTAGAGTAGAGAGTCAAATTTGTCGTAGCACCTAAAAAGCCTGGAGAATTTCCACAAACCTCCCTTTTCTCCGTCTTCATCGATTTACTTATTTGTGAGCTATTTGTCAATGAAGATGAATGTGCTGAAATGTTGTTCAGATTCAAAGGCTTTGATTGCAGCAAATGAGTCCCTTGTTTAGGTGTAGTAAACACGTTTTTGGCTCCATGTTTAGAACCATTATTGATCTCAAGCACACCTTCTGATGTCTTGCTGTCCGCTTTCGTGTCTTGTTGCTGAGTTAGTCTTTCAATATCATCACATGCTTGGTACAGTAAATCGTCGTCTACATCATCTGCCTCCCAGGCATTCTCTAATTGATGACATGCATTAACAATTTCGTTGGCAAATGATGGATCATTCCAATCATCAAAGAAAGAACTTAACTTGGATGCATTAGCTTGATTTGCGTTACAAACACTGGTCTTATTGCCCCAAGCTGCAGGGCCTAAAGGCTCTACATTTGTAGGTGCTTTAAAAGATTGTTTAAAAATGGACTTATTTTTTTGTTCACTAGAATGTCTTGTGTTCAAAGTAGACTTTTTTCCAGAAGTATTTACATTAGAAGTAAACTTACTATGAGTATCTTCCTTTACTTTTGTCAGATTAGATGCAACTGCATGGTCTTGAAGTTTGTCCTGAACACTTGTATTAAAAGATTTCTGAAATTTCATTTTATTTCCAGCAGATAATTTATCTGATTTATCATTTGACTTTGGCGAAAGTCTGTACTTTGCACCCATTAATTCACTGTTAGGTGCCTTTGAAGGGAGATCATGTAAAAATTTTGAATCTTTTAACCTGGTATCTAGACTTGTATTCATTCCTGACTTACTTTCATCATGTTTACTATTAAAGGTACACATTTCCTTTTGATCAGTAATCTGGGCTTTTGGAGGAGCAGAGAAATGCTCAGACATTTTGACATTTTGCGTAACAAAAGGTTCATTATTTAGTAAGTTTTCCCAGTCATCCTCAAAATCAGTGGCAGTAACTGCATCAATGTGCTTATTGAAAGCTCTTGGTTCCTTCGTACAGGAAGTCACATATGATTTTGTCATTCCAGGAGCATCTACCTGATAAGAAAGTGACCCTGGTAGTTTTTCAGTGACCAGAGTTTCATTGGTAATGATCTTCTCCTCTTTCAAAGCACTTTTCTTTCCAAATGTAGTATTACCGGTGTTTGAAAAAGCATCTGACAGCTCTTGGCTTAACTGTCCACTACATTTCTGAGTAGAACCATCAAAAATGGCAATAAAGGCTGCTTCAGCATTTTGGTCAAATGGCTTCTGACTGCTCTTTTGCCCATTTACCACGGTTATCTTGGTGTTTTCTTTCCCTGGCTTCTTTAACACAGCATTATCTATTCCGGGAACGATATCATGCAGTAACTGCGTTTGTACATTATCTCTGTAATTATCTAAAGTCTCTGCTTCTGAAATCGTCTGGATAAGATCATGATCTCTCTTGTTTTGGTCCTGAATCACATCCAGCTCTTCCATATTTTTATCAAATTGTTTAGCCAATTTCATAAGTTCCTCCTCCTGATTTTGAGTTTTTAACCTATTAAACAAATATTAAAAAAATTATAAGTTCTAAGAGTCATAAACATTCAATTATTATTTAACATATTTCAGTGTTAAAATTCAAAAATGTTAACACTTACATTATAATTATTTTAAGTCCAAAAGTTTGTATGTCAAAACTAAGGAAAATAATTTATAACCACTTTAACATATTCACAAAACCAAAACGGAATATTTTTAAAAACATTTACTTCACCGAATTCAGAAAAACCTAAAAGTTTGCACTTACTTTGTACCGCTGAGTTTTGCCCTTGATTTTCCTTTTGCTACACTAGGAGTACATGGAATAGCAGTTTCACCAATCCACACGCCCAGCATGGAGTCTGTCATTGGTTTCTCATCCTTCGGCAAAAGGGAAAAAAAAGAGGTTTAAAAAGTACCAAAACCCCCCTACACCCCCAAAACAAATAACAAACCAAAAAACCCACCTTAGTTATGTTGAATTATTTTCCTAAAGCAATTAACTACAAAAAAATGAGAAGTTGGAGGATGGCAATAACAAGTTGCAAGAAGTGATCTATTCATGTTTTAGCAAACGAAAACAGTCAGAATCGAGAACTCCTTATTTTCAGAAAGTTTTAAGTTTTTAAGAATTTAATTAACAATGGATTATTTAATAGTAAAAGCACATGTTTTTATCAAAAGAAAATGGATCAACTTATTTCAGCAGTCATCAGATATTTTTAAAAATAAACATCAGTGTCAGAAATAAACTGTAGCAGGATTAGAGTTAAGAATAAAACGAGATACACACGGAATTCTTTATCACTTGATTCTCCAAATTTCTCTATCCCCATTATAATGTTTATCTAAAGCTGCACAATCCATGTTGACCTGAACTGACAACACTTTGACAGAATTAAGAAAACTTAGAACTAAGTTGGGACTGAGTTAGAGAGAAGTGCAAGGTTAGAACTGATGCTACAAATGAAGTAGGGAAAAGAACAAAAATAAGCAGAGAAAGCAGAGAAAAGTTTAACCAGTATAAAGGCTAGGAAAAAGCCATCTGCTATACCTTTCAGTCACTTGATCACGCATAAAATTAGAGAATGAGTTTACATATTAGTTACAAACCAAATCAACAAATAGGTGGACCATTTTCTACTCTATTTTTATAGTACCTAGAATGAACGTAAACAACTATCACAAATTAAAAATCACCTTATCACTAGATATAGGTTACTTGAAGACAAGGACTATCCCCCTAGCATCCAGCAAAATGCTGAGAATAAAGATGTCAGTTTATGTTTATTCTCTGGAGAGTTAGATGAAAAGATCCCTGCAGCTTGGTACATTAAAATCCTCTACCAACAAGCAGTTTTCTTGTATGTCCAGTTGAACCTAGTAGATTGTAGCTTTGTAAAATATTCAAGAGAAGCAAGTTTCAATTTTAGACTCAATACGTATTTTCCCTTTTGTTTCAACAATCTCGAATTTAGGGAAAATAACATTCTTAACTAATTAATTATGGATTTTTTTCCTCCATTTATCAAGTAATTTTAAATTCATTACATTTTTAGAGAATGAAAGTATGATACTTTTATATATCCAATGAAATATATATACATGGGTCCTTTGTATGGTTTTTTTTAATTGAAATATAGTCAGTTTACAATGTCGTGTCAATTTCTGCTGTACAGCACAATGCTTCTGTCATACATGAATATGCATTCATTTTCATATTCTTTTTCACCATAAACTACTACAGGATATTAAATATAGTTCCCTGTGCTATACAGTAGAAACTTGTTTATCTGTTTTATATGTACCAGTTAGTATCTGCAAATCTCAGACTCCCAATTTATCCCTTCCCACTCTCTTCCCCACTGGCAACCACAAATTTGTTTACTATGTCTGTGAGTCTGTTTCTGTTTTATAAATAAGTTCATTTGTTTTTTTTTTCAGATTCCACATAAGTGTGATATCATATGGTATTTTTCTTTCTCTTCTGACTTACTTCACTTAGAATGACATTCTCCAGGGCCATCCACGTTGCGGCAAATGGCATTATTTTATTATTTTTTAATGGCTGAGTAGTAGTCTATTGTATAAATATACCAACTTTATCCAGTCATCTGTCAATGGATTTTAGGTTGTTTCCATGTCTTGGCTACTGTAAATAGTGCTGCTATGAACATTAGGGTGCAGGTGTCTTTTTGAATTAAGGTTCCCTCTGGAAATATAATGAGGAATGGGATTGCTGGATCATATGGTAAGTCTATTTTTAGTCTCTGAGGAATCTCCATACTGTTTTCCACAATGGCTGCACCCAACTGCATTCCCACCTTTTTTTACACTATTTGTAAAGAATTTCTTCATTAATAATTACATAAAACAATCCAGGTGCTGTATAAAGTACCTAAACGTATTACTTCATTTAATCTTAGCATATACTGTGTAGAAGTGCATAAAAATGATGGAAAAATATATACCATCTTCAAACATTATATAAAAAGTGTCCCTAAAAATGTAAAATGACTGTCCAATTAAAATAAAAATGCATATTAAAAAAAGTCATTTCTGGAAATATTAAGATGACTTAATTATTTGAAGAGGATGATTCACCTAAAAAAAAAAAAACCAACACGAATATGTCATTCTGAGAACATGACAGCTCTTAAAAAAACTTGGTCCTACCAAAGATTTATATACTTTAAAAGCGCTCAGCTGAAAAGGGTAACATTTAAAAGCAACTAATTTCACTGTATTTTTTCTTATACACAAGTTACCACTTGCACACTGCTGCCATTTCTTTATGTGAGCTATTACTTCCAGCCCACTTAGGTAAAGAGTCCAATAATTTACTTGGCTATCTTTTTATCACTACTCAGGCTGGCCAGTCCAAACACATTTTATTACGCCTCTTTCATGTGAAACCTACAATCAATGAAGCTCTATTGTTAACTTATGAAGTAAGCAGTATGCGGCATAAATGCTATTTAACTAATGAACCATATGTAAAATGCATTTCTATGACATGCCAAACATGGAATGTAGAGCTAGTAGCAACAGAATCGTTTTGACTGTGCTAGCTGTAATTCTGGATATTTTATAGCCACTGAGAAAAACTTTATCTCCTGTCTCTCCCACCTGGACGATGGTGATTCCCTGCAACCACAGTTTGGGCCAGTGCCACCTGTCCTTTACGGTCAACACACAGTCACTGTCCAAGGGCATGTCAAAGAAAATACCACACTTCCTAAGGAGAAGACACTAAGAGAAAACTGATGTTTTCTGGATTTAAATGTTGGTAAGTAAGAAAAAGAGAGAGGAAAGTAAAGAAGTTCAGAACAGAGGTTGACCTAAGCTTTTATTTCGCTTTCATTCAAGCATTACAAGAGTTGAAATAAAGATGAAACTTCTGAAGATGGCTCCGTTACAGTAAATACTTTATCAAAATTAGCTTTAATATAACCTAGTATTTGTAGTGCTCTACAGTTTACAAAGAATGTTTATCTAATTGAATCCTCACAATAACTCGAGAAAGAGAACAAAACAAGTAATAATTCTATTTTATGGTTGAATGAACTAAAGTTCTGAAAGCTTAAATCACTTGCTTAGGTTCATTCAGTACAGGAGGCAGACTGAGAACTAACTCCAAATCTAATGTTTTGCCCACTTTTGTAAGTGTTTCTTGATGATCTTACAAGTCAACAAGTATTAAGAAAAGCAGTTTCAATGGGGAAAAGGTGTGCTATACACAGGAAAAAAAAAATACCAATCACAAAAAACTTTAAAGTTAAAATTTTTGTTGTCTGATTCTATTATTTTAGTAACTTGAAAAATGATACCATATATTGTCAAACAACATTGAAAACAAAATATAGCTCTAATTAAAAATCATCACTAAAAAATGAAAATAAAATATATGCTTAGGGGAAAATATATTACCAATTTTACAATATGTTGCTTTTTCTAAAACATGCATTTTAGTAATAGAAAAAGTAAAAGTAATCTCTGCTGCTATATGTTTGGAAAAGAGAACCAAGTAAGACAAAACATTTTTCAGATACATGAACTATAAAAAAAACTTAGTGTCATTCTAAGTGAAGTAAGCCAGAAAGAGAAAGAAAAATACCATATGAGATCACTCATATGTGGAATCTAAAGACTCATGGACAGAGAATACAGACTTGTGGTTACCAGGGGGGTAGAGGGTGGGAAGGGATAGACTGGGATTTCAAAATTGTAGAATAGATAAACAAGATTACACTGTATAGCACAGGGAAATATACACAAAACGTTACGGTAGCTCACAGAGAAAAAAATGTGACAATGAGTGTGTATATGTCCATGAATGACTGAAAAATTGTGCTGAACACTGGAATTTGACACAACATTGTAAAATGATTATAAATCAATAAAAAATGTTAAAAAAAAACAAAAAAACTTAGTGGCCTATTTTTCACTCTTTTAAAATAAACTATAAAACTGATGATACTTACCTGAGGTGCAATCCGATTAACAATATGTGAGATCTCATCACTGTCTGTGGTATAAATCTTCTTTTTCCTTCCTTTACCTAAAGAAACAAAGACATTTTTATAAATTATAAACAATTTTTTTTAAAAGAGCGGTCATTTCTAAGAAAACAATTATAATTAGCATAGCTTACATCACTACTACCTCTGACATCACATGCAATCACAGCAACATGATCATGTAAGATTCTCAAAAAATACCTGCTGTATAAAAGTTCCTGATTTTGTTACCCGACTGAAATTCTATAGTTAAATCCTGTTCATTAATCAAGTATTCACCCAAATAAAAATGTTACTGACAAATTACCTAGCTGTTTTGTCATCGGAGAATTCTGATCCCAAAAGATATCATTCTGTCCATCTGGATCATTAGGAGAACTGAAGGTAGATGATGATAAATCCATCCGCAGCACTCTCTTTGGTGTTTCATACCTTTCTACATAAAGATTAAAGTAACAATTTTTGCAATTTAAAGCATTACTTTACTTCATAATACCTAAATGCTAAATAATAACTTAGATTACTATTTGTAGTTCAATTATAAAATTTCCCCCCAGAGATGACTGTATTACTTTAACGAGAACTGAAATGTTTGTTTTACATAAAAATCCCTGTAATATTTTACATATTTGACATTGTAAATAGCAAGTATTTTAGACAATCTAGTGGCTCTATAAATGTACAACACGGTATAACCTAGTCACTCCATTCCTTGCCACTGGAACATGGAGGCTTTGGGAATCACCCGTAATTTACAGATAATTTCAAAAATCAAAAGCACTCGGACAAAAACCTCAGTAAAATCTATGTTTAGCCCCCTTTCCCCAACTCTAGCCAACTTACACTAATTAACTTCAAAAACCTTTAATGAGCTGTTTCTTGGTAAATTTTGCGTAGTATCGCTGTCTTTGTTTATTCTGCAATTGCTTTGCCCAAGTAAACTAAAAACAAGTTAACAAAAGCTGTAGATCAAAAATACGCTCTAGAAAAAGAGCTTTTACAGGAGTTTTAGTCCCTGACAGGATGAGAAATCTCTAAAATATTCTGGAACACCAAATATTGATCAGAATGAAATATTCAAGGGCCCTCGGTTTCCTACTTTGAGGGACAGTATACAACGGAGCTTTCGGTTTATGCCCAACGAGGTGAGACACCACCACGACTTTGAGGCTACAGATGAGCTACAGCTTTCACACACGGCCCCTTCTCTAAATCTGGTCAGGACAAAAAGTTTGAGGGGGAGTTAACTTCCCCTGGGAATCAGCTAAAAGCAACAGGTATTGTTTTTCCTCGCTCTGCTATTGCTGAAGCCCGGAGGAGCAGCCTAGAAATCTGTCCCCTCCCTCTAACAGGTAAACCCCACCACCTACTCCTGTGGCAGGGGCGACAAGTGGGTGGTCATTCCTAACGGGGCAGTGCTCAGACTCGAGGAAGCAAGGGGTGGGGGAGTGGTGTCGGGTTAATTTTGGACTCATGAGGAGAAACCCCGAGGAAGGGCACACACTTCAGACTCCACCCCCACCCCACCCCCACCCGCACCTGGGGTTTTCCTGCTAGAAGCTGGGCAGCGAGTCTGCGGCGCCGAGGCCTCGGGGGGCCGCGCCGCCCACGTCTCACCCTCAGGGTTACTTTTACTGCACGAAGTGGCTGCTGGAGGCTGCTCTTGCTGCGGCTGGGGCCGGGGAGGCCTGTCTCCGGCCCCGCGGAGCCCCGAGGCGCCGGCCGACCTCAGCCGCCTCTTCCCCTGCTCGACCACC